CGTATACATGAACCACACTATTGGAAACACAAGCACATCTAGATGGTCTCTCTGTACCTGCTTTTATATTTACTAAGCTATTGAGCCCAATACAAGATAATTCATGCTACCTAAATTACCCTCTGGAAAGAACTAATTGAACATTTTGTTTGGCAAGCTTACCGTTCCCGGAATTCTTTTGTACACTTAAGACATGCTATTGGAAGTGACCATCTGCTAAGTTTTCAGCCCAGCATACAAAGTCCAGGCTAAGCGATAAAGAGGAAAATTGACGAAATATAAAGGGCAGCATATTACTCTTAAATATGTGCTTATACAGTTTCTTCTAATCCATATTGTCCACAGTCCATCTGTTTCTAAACAGCCAGACAACTGCTTAATTGCATAGTTGCAGAAAAGCATAACTATGTCATGCGAGATGTGTTTTTTTGAGAAATGTGATGTCAGCTAGTTTCTAGTCACTGCTGCTCCTACATCTGCATGGAAACTAGGGAAGAAATGCAAGAAATACAAGGTCTAATATTGTTGATCTTTCTTGTTTGGTTTGCCTCTGAAAAGAAAATAAAGAGGAAGAAAATTGCTTTTCGTGGACCCCTGTTGGTGAAAGTGGACATAAAAATGATGACTTCCCCCTTTTCTCTCAAATTCAAGCAGAGGAGAGGAGATTTCTTATTTCAGCTTGATTTCTCTTTATTTTTATTTGTCTCCTTGTGGGGCAGTCATTTAACCTTGGTGCCTTATTTGAAATGCATTTACTTTTCTTTAAGCTATTCCCCCTTCCCCCAGACTGAAAAAAGAGGGGGTAAAAAGAAAGGGGATTTCAATTTATCCATGAAGAGCCTTTTGCTAGTTTGTTTTTTGGTCTAAGATTTTTTCTCTTATGCTTTCAGGTACCAACAAGAAGGTATAAACTGGTTGGCATTTTTGAAGCGCTTTAATCTTCACGGGATTTTATGTGATGACATGGGCCTTGGTAAAACCCTTCAAGCATCAGCAATTGTGGCTTCTGATGTAGCAGAGCACATTGCTCTAAATAGTTCCCAGGATTTACCTCCATCCTTGATAATATGCCCCTCAACCCTTGTCGGCCACTGGGTTTATGAAATAGAGAAGTTTATTGATGGTTCTTTGCTTACTACCCTCCAGTATGTTGGTTCTGCGCAAGAGCGCATTTCGCTACGGTCTCAGTTTAGTGAGCATAATGTTATCGTGACATCATATGATGTTATCCGCAAAGATGTTGATTATCTTAGACAGCTGTTTTGGAACTATTGCATTCTAGATGAGGGACATATCATAAAGAATTCTAAGTCGAAAATAACAGTTGCTGTTAAACAATTAAAGGCACAACACCGACTCATTCTGAGTGGAACACCGATACAGGTGTGTTAATATTGTTAGCAATTCAGCCAGAACTGAATATTTATAACAGTTCAATGGGTGCTTAACAGTTAATCTGTCTCAAATTGCAGAATAATGTGTTGGATCTGTGGTCACTTTTTGACTTCCTTATGCCAGGGTTTCTTGGAACTGAAAGACAAGTGAGTTACACCATTTGCTAAGTTAAAATTGCACTTTTTGTAGTTCTTACGTTGTTCAATGTGCCTAATAATTGAGTGATTTTGTTCCGATTTGTTGTTTCCTAAAAGTTGTATTTGGGTTGAGAGGTACGCACAGGGAAGCTGTTGGTGGGAATTTCCTTTCATGTTGATTGTGGGTATCATGAATTTCTTTCAGCATCTAATGTGGATGCTTAGTGAAACTGAGCTGGCTAGTTACAAACTTCTTTTGATCAAAAGTTGTTATATGATACTTACCTTGTATGTTAATTTTACAGTTTCATGCCTCCTATGGTAAACCACTACTAGCTGCCAGAGATCCCAAATGTTCAGCGAAAGATGCTGAAGCAGGTGTGCTTGCTATGGAAGCATTGCACAAGCAGGTGGGTTCATTTCTACTTGCATCTGGCCTCCTCTGTTCTTGTCACTGTTGATCTAGACTCAAACTGAAAATGGTTTTCCTTGACAGGTGATGCCTTTTCTCCTTCGCCGGACTAAAGATGAAGTCTTATCTGATCTGCCAGAGAAAATTATTCAGGATAGGTACTGCGTCCTGAGTCCTGTTCAGCTAAAACTCTACGAACAATTTTCTGGTTCACATGTGAGGCAAGAAATTTCCAGCATTGTGAAGCACAATGAATCAGATGCAAGCCAAAAAAATGATTTGCCAAAAGCATCTTCTCATGTATTCCAGGTAAGTTGAGAATAGTCATGATTATATCTTTTGTGGTTGTGGTCTAATATCTCTCTTGTTTCAGGCACTTCAGTACTTGCTTAAACTTTGTAGTCATCCTTTGCTCGTGTTTGGGGAGAGAATTGCAGAATCACTCTCATCTGTTGTGTCAGAGCTCTTCCCTCCTGGTTCTGACATTGTTTCAGAACTCCATCAACTTCACCATTCTCCCAAATTAGTCGCCTTGCAGGAGATCCTTTCGGAGTGTGGAATTGGTGTTGACTCAGGTTCTGAAGGCACTATTTGTGTGGGACAGCACAGAGTCCTGATATTTGCACAGCATAAGGTAATGCCTCTAGCTTCTGAAGTTATATTTTGATTGATTCTGTTCCTGTCTTAACCTGGAATTCAACTTTGAGTTGTGCAGGCCCTTTTGGATATCATTGAGAGAGACCTGTTTCACACTCATATGAAGAGGTAAGGATAGTTCTTTCTTGTTTTTACCTTTCAAACTTCCTTTTGAAGTAAACTAAATAGCCTGCCAATATTTCCATTGCCATTGACGTATCTGTGACTTTTATATGGAGGTTGAGGCATCTTTTAATGTACTTCTTGGTTTATCGTGTGGGTCAACTCTTGGTTGTCATAATTAGGTTTTCTGATATTAGGGGCTAGTGTGTTGTTAACCATTAATTCTGCAGCAGTTTATGGCGGCGGTCTTGATTTGACTAAACCTTTTTCTGTTGAGAAAGCAAGACATAGGAAATACCTTTTGGAGTCTCCATGTTTGTATGGCACAGTACTTTGACCTGTTTAGCTGCAGGCATATCTTGGAAGGGGCATAAAGGGAGGGAAGGCTGTGGTTTTCATTCTTTAGTTCTTTCACATTTCACCTTTTAGAATTGGTTTCAGTTTGATTTTAGTACATTGAGCTACTCTTTGTTTGACATTATTTTTTGGAACTTGCAATCTACCGATTCTCTAAATTTCTGCACACAAACTATCAAATTATAGGCTACATAATATGTTGCCTCTACAAGTATGGACAAAGAGAGTTGAATATGTTCTCAACTGTTTTGTAGCCCCAGAATTTTTAGGATACACAATTTTTTTCATCACTTCTTTGTATCGCACCTGGAAATTTTCTTGTTAATTTGCAATCATTTTGGACGCTTGAGATTGTCTCGGGATATAAATGGACTTCGTATGTTAAATCTTAACTTTCACAATTAATAGTTTCCCTTGTAATTATGGATAGCTGTACCTGTTTTGATACAGTTAATATATATGCAACAAATGTTACCTTCTCAACCAAAAAAAAAGTTTGCTAGTGCACATGTGAACGATTTAGAACCGGAAAAAACAGATGTTAGAGGACCAGTAATGCACCTATGTTAATCAAAGGTTGTCTTGAAGTACTTGAGCCCGTTCCTTTGGTTTGACATTCAGTAGCTAACGAGATTTTACTCCTTTTTTGAGCAGTGTTACTTACTTGAGGCTGGATGGATCAGTTGAACCAGAAAAGCGCTTTGACATTGTGAAAGCCTTCAATTCAGATCCTACCATAGATGTTTTGCTGCTTACAACACATGGTATGATTCTACATTTTTGCATGGTTTCTCTAGAGTAGAAGACCTGTGCTCATGTACGAATACTTCTTGCAGTTGGTGGGCTTGGTTTGAACCTGACATCAGCTGATACCCTTGTGTTTATGGAGCATGACTGGAATCCAATGCGAGATCACCAGGTATAGAAAATTAGTCTTTCCTTGCAGGTTTTCTTTTGAATATGGTCCAGAACCATCCTCATAATTTTTTTGGCTTATTTTTAGCCCTGTTAAAGTAAAAATGCAATGATAATCTTTTGGTATTAGTTGCCCTCTGTGTGTTTTTGGGGGGCAGGGGGTGGAGGGGAATTTGCATGGTGGGTAGGGGTGGGGGAAGTCTCTCGCCAACTTCTTTTGAATTTTTTTTTATAAGGTAAATTGTATTAATCAAAAGGGAGAGAAACTCCCGTATACAAGAAGTATACCAAAAAGTAAAGAATTTAGATCAGAACATGATTCTCTACAAAAGACGCCCAATCTTCTATACAAATAGGGGCTATATGAGTGCACCAAAAAGCAATCAAAGATAAAAGACTATTCTTAAGATGTGAAAAAGGAGACTCAATCCCCTCAAAAGCTCTCCTATTTCTCTCCCCCCAAACTATCCACTTGAGAGCTAACGAGGCGAACTTCCACGCCTTTTGCTTTCTTCTTCTACGGAAACCGGCCCAGCTATATAGCATTTCCTTTACAGTGCTTGATATCACCCATTGAACACGAAAAAGGTTCAGGATCGCCCTCCACAAAGCCGACACAGGGCAATGCAACAAAAGATGATCAACTTCTTCCCCTGAGCTTTTACACATATAGCACCAACTAACAAGTGTAATTCTCCTCTTTCGAAGATTCTCAGCAGTCAAAATCACTCCCCTCGCCGCTAGCCATGCAAAAAAGCACATCTTCGTGGGCGCCTTAGGAATCCAGATCGAGGAGTATGGAAAAGAGGCCTCCTCTCTCACCAACATACTCTGGTAAAAGGACTTTACGGTGAACAAACCATCGCCACACAAACCCCATCTCCAAGAATCACAAGATGGCTGAGGCCTGTCTTGCCCATATAGCAGTGTCAATAAATCTTGGAGCTCCGCAATCTCCCAATCTTGCATGTTCCTTCTAAATGAGAGGTTCCATACTACTCCCCCATCATGCTCCTGTTGGACCATCAATTCCTTCTGGTTTGAAACTCTGAAGACGTGGGGGAAGGAGACACACTCCACACCACCTATGATTCCAAAAGCTGATTCTCCCTCCATCTCCCACCCTATAAGAGATGTTGCCGCTTAAGGATTCCCAATTCTTCATGATGATGCTCCTCCACATGCCACACCGACAGGTGTTGTGATTGCCTTGGTCCTCCAACCCCCTCTTGTGAAATCGTACTTGTCTACTATGACCTCCCTCCATTGAATCTTTTATAGAGGTTATATGTTTCTTGCCTCTTGCTTTGTTTTTTAGCGCTTTAGTTGTCATCAATATCTCTGGATGATTGATGGGAGGCAAAGTTTGTACTTATTTAGGTGTTCTGCTTCTTAGTAGGCAGGACTAAGTCTGTTAAAGTATGAAGAGGCATGTTTATTTGACTATGCATCCATATCCCTACTTTTCGAAGCCAGAAGAATGCCTTAGATAGTATACGTAAAAGCTTAAAAATTTACCATATCCTGGGAATATTGTTGCTTGACCATCCAATTTTAATCACCTGTTAAAATTTATGACCTAGCAGGCACTATAAGATGTTTCTTTTGTAGTTACTATAAAATTAGTTTTATATGGTGCTGATAACTTTTTGGTGTTACTTTAGAGGATCTAGTACTTGTTGATTCTAAATTTTGAGACAGCAAGATAATTTTGGGTATTTTGATTTACTTCGTGGAGATAATACCTATCTGTGTTGAGCCGTTAGATGTGTTGTATTGATATTGCAGTAGTTGGTGTTCTGCTGATTTGATTTTAGTCAACCATTGTTGTTGAATCTTCTCATGTCCTGCTTGCTCAAGATGATGATATAGAAAGGCAGGATAACTTCTTTATATCCTTTTGTAGGCTATGGATAGAGCTCACAGATTGGGCCAGCGAAAAGTTGTAAATGTTCATCGTCTCATTATGCGAGGAACATTGGAAGAAAAAGTGATGAGTCTCCAAAGGTTTAAAGTGTCAGTTGCCAATGCAGTAATCAATGCAGAGAATGCAAGTCTGAAAACGATGAATACAGACCAGTTACTTGATCTATTTACTTCGGCTGAAAGCAAAAAGGTGATTTAACTTTCAGCTTTGGATCTGTAGTGTCTCTCTTGATATCTTTAGAATTTGAGATGCATGTATGCTGTTTAAATTGTGTTAAGAAATGGATCCTCAACCAATGTGGGACTCAACAACTTACAAATGCTGGTTATTCTCAGGGGGCCAGTAGATCCAGAAGAACCGATGAAAAATCTGATGTGGACTCAATCTTGCCACGTAGCGGGAAGGGATTAAAAGCCATTCTCGGAGGACTGGAGGAGCTGTGGGATCAATCACAATACACGGAAGAGTATAACCTGAGCCACTTCTTAGCAAAGCTTAATGGTTAATTATCTGAGCTTCTTGCAATGCTTCTGCATACATTGGATTGGAGTATGCAGAGCAGGGAGGGGATGAGATGCAGCTCTGCATTCCATGTACAAAGTGTACATTCTTTGAGTCAGCCCAAATTTTGTCGATTAGAGGTAGTTCCCTTTTCCCTCTTTATTTTGTTTCATTTTCTTCTCGTGATAATTCTAGACAGGCAATTATATTCTTGGACGCCATTAACATAGAATAGTTTATAGCGGAGCACAGTTGTGGGATGGAGCTGATGATGCCCCCCGTTAGGATAGCTGAGATATTGTAAATTGGATTATGTACATACATTCAACTTTTCTAAATTAATGCAATCGAGATGAATATCGGTTTCATTATGAAGTTATGACCCGTGCTTTCTTCTATTTTTCTGTTAATCTCGTTTTCGAATGCTTGCTCGTTTCTCCAACATTTTGCGATTTCTGTTTCAACTGACTGCATGGTTGATTATTTTCAAATATTTTAATGTTAAAGTTTTATTCAAGTAGGTAATGTAAGTGACACTTGCTAATCCCCATCAGTCACTCTCCTTTCGTTTAGGTGAAGCTGACCATGAGTTGGAAAGTTTGGTCAATCTGTATACAAGGTGGAGAACTGGATTAGAACTTCAAAATTATTTGGATTGAGCTCGATGTGAAGTAGGAATATAGCATTTGAAATGAATCACCTGGGCAGTAAAAGTAATTCGTAGGTTAGTTATTATCAGATATTAAGAGTCGGTTAGTATATAAATTTATGCAGTCATACAAGCTCAATTGGTGAACTGACCCGTTAGTTATTATTCTTTGCAAAATGACCCATTTTTAAGGTTAGGGAGAATTAGGATTAGCAAACTGAAAGGTTTATTTACTCACCGAAAATATAAATAACTATATTTTGCCAAAAAATGAAAAGAAATCGAGTCAGTTCCCTCCATAAATCCCATGCTTTCGGCGTGCCTTAGCAATGCTTCCAGTCAAATTTCTTGCTTGATTGAGCTCTGATTTTGCTCCATAGGTAGCAAATCTCAGTTCCCCAAGCTTCCTCCATCCTACCCAAGATTCAATTTGTCGATCATTTTGTGAGTACATTATGTTGGCCGTTCATTGTAAGTAATATATTTTTCGATTTGTTCATAAGTGGTAAAAAGCTTTCTATCGTTGCTTAGACATTTTCCTAGATTTAATTCTGTTATAACTGGTCATCGACCATTTTTAATTTATTAGGTTGATTCTATTTGCCAAATATGGGGGACAATATCGTTGTAGGTGGTGATTATATGGGTGAGTGGGTGGAGACCGTAAAATATTGAAAATGGCACTCTAAGTTGATGTCAACATTAACTATTATTGTTCCTCATAGCGATTCCTTTAACAAGGTTGAGAGCATAATTAAATGTGGTCAATTAAAATGTAAACTAGTGATGTTTCAGTTAGCTATATGATTAATTTTGTGCCTAGCAAGGTACAAATAGCTCCTTCTTTCATCTTGAACGATCAACATGTGGAACTGTATCTTCTTGATATTCTAGTGATGGTGCTAGGATTATTGTAAGGATAAATGTGGTTGACAGGTGTCAACAAGCTTCACCATCACCACACAATCACAAGAAGTAGTTGATGAAGAGATAAATAATAATGAAGGATGGGATAATTAATATATTCATCCGTTGGATCATAATGGAAAATATCCAATGAATATCGATATTCCAGCAGATGACGATGTGCCAGAGAATCATAACATCGTTGCAGGCAGTGAAGTACGTCAAAGGGGATATGTATTATATTAGTTAAGTATCATAATAAGCACAGGTGTAGTGTTTAAAATCTCATGAGCCCACATCCATTTGTCATTGCTAGTTTCGTGATGAATGACTTTGCTAATGGCGAAGGGCTATCAAGGGCTAGAAGGGGGTGTTCTTGCTGACACATTTTAAATGCATATCGTCTTGAAAGTGAAAACTTGATGCAGCAGGGAGGTTCTTATACTTTTCGTAGCATATGAAGCTTGCATCAGAGATTTTTTGAACATGACCAAGGATTTAGCTGTTAATGAAACTTTTTTAACAGACTAGTATGGTGAGCTTGAGCAACTTTGTAGCAGAGGCGTACAGTAAACATAAATTCTTTGACCATTTTCAGCAACTTTGAAATGTTCCCCACTGCAACTAGATGTCTTGAGCTTGAGGTTGGATTTCACAGATGGACCAGGTCTCATTTTCCAGGAAACAAGTACAAAGTGATGACCACAAACATTAACACAATATTCCGGGAAGAAAGAAAATTTCCTGTTTAACTGTATTGGTCGAAGGTTCGCTGAAAAAATTCAAGCAGAGGAAGGCAAAAATCAGCAAGATAATTACTATATTTGTGCCTTCTGCTGGAAAAAGAAAATTATGGAAAAAGGAAATTCCTTGCTGGTCTATGACTTAAACGGACAACTTAATGAGTTTAGTGTCCTCGGACAAGACAAGGATGCAAAAGTCAATCCACATGACAAATTATGTTCAAAATAATTAAGCGTATAACATTTATTTGGAAAATCATTTGGGTCCAAGAAGGGAGAACAAACAAATGGTCAATTTGCAAGAAGAATGGCCACAAGAAAACCACCTGTCAATTTTTGGCAGAAAATTATAACTGATTTATTTTTCTTCAATCTATTGGTATTTGTCATGATTTGGTACTGTGTGCAATGAAATGGTTATGTAATGATTTGCTACAGTGATAATTTGGTTAAGCATAGTATTATGATCTGTTTATATTGTGTATTGCTAGTGTACTGATATCAACTTATGTATTGGTTTATAATCTATTCTCTTTGGTTGGTAATCCATTGTTCTTGGTATTTCAATATATATCATGGCTACAAGACGTCAGTTATTTGGTCTATTGATAACACCTAGTTATAAAAACGCTCTAGCATCCACTTCATATTAGTTACTAATAATCAGTGTGAACGGCAGGCAACTTTATTAATTGAAGCATGCATTGCCTCATTGAACACTATCACAAAATTGTGATGAATTTGCAAAAAGAAAAAAGATCACTACCATAAATACGTTCTGAAGAATGGCTAAGCCATATTCACAAGAAACAACAAAGACCATTGCCTTTTAATTTATTCGTTGCCTATAAATAACAGCTAAAATTCACTCCTTAAAAGTTAATTACAATATAACATAAGTGGCACGAAGAAATCGCCAAAGGAGTGTAGGATGCTAACTCTTTTTGTTAAGTTTTAATCCTAGACCCTGAAATTTTTGAAATTTTAAAAAGGACCCCGACCTGCTTTAGTCCCCTCATTAACAATTTCAGGTGCCAAAAAAAAGGGAGAGTCTGATCCTCGATTTAATTTTGTTACGATGCCGATTTGCTGATTTCTCTCTTGTCCCTAAGTATTAATGAGAGCAATTTATTTTGAATGCCATTTAAAAATATTAGGTTGGGAGAAGTAGACATGTTGATTTACTAAAAGGAAAAGAAAGGTGAATGGAGGGGTGCTCCAACGAGAATGCAAACTCATTCGATAAAGAACTCATAATGCAAGACCATACTTTTCAATGAATAGCATCCTTGTAACATTTTCATACTATATTTATCGACATAAAGTAGAGACGTTTAAAGAATGCTTTTCTTAAATTATATATTAAGGATATCGAAAAAGGGAAAACTTGATGATGTCCATTTGAAGAAGTATTAGGCATGTGCCTAATAAAAGTTTCTTTGGTTTGGTAGCCAATCTTGTTGACTTGGTTAGGTTAGGTAGCCAACCTTGTTGAATTAGTTTGGTTTGCTAGCCAACCTTGTTGAATTTCTTTGGTTTGGTAGCCAACTTTGTTGAATTGTGAAAAGTGTGTGTAAATTGTCAAATATTGTAGGCTTTAGAGAGTGAAGCTTTGGCTATAAAAGGAGAGCTTCAACTCTCATTTCTCCACACCAACAAAGAGAGAAAGAAAGAGTGGCGTTTCACAGACAGGGTATAAGAAAATAGTCTGTGAGGAAAATAGAGAGTGAGCGATATTGTAGTGAGGTGGGAATATCAAAAGAGGGTTATTTCTTTTGAGTGTTGTAGTGGTCTTTGGAGTATTTATCTCCGACCTACAAAGTGTAAAATTCCTTACTATAGTGATATCAGTTGCTCCTCTCGGGGCCGTGGTTTTTTCCCTTATTAAAAGGGTTTTCCACGTAAAAATCTTGGTGTCATTGTTACTCTTTTATTCTTGTTAATTACCGTATCTCGGTGCTACATTATTATTCCGCTTTTATTACCGTGAATATTATTTCTGTGATGGTTTATTCCCAACAACTGGTATCAGAGTACAAGTTCTGCTCGTTCACTGAAACACTATTCACTATCGGTAGTACTACTCGGTTAAAAATAAAAATGTCCGGAGTAAAGTACGAGGTAGAAAAATTTAACGGAGATAATGGTTTCTCAACATGGCAAAGAAGGATGAGGGATCTGCTCATCCAACAAGGATTACACAAAATACTAGATGCTGATGCTAAAAAGCCTGATACCATGAAAGCTGAGGATTGAGCTGACTTGGATGAAAGAGCTGCTAGTGCAATCAGGTTACACTTATCAGATGATGTGGTAAATAACATCATTGATGAAGACACTGCACGTGAAATTTGGACAAGGTTGGAAAGCCTATACATGTCCAAAACGCTGACAAATAAATTGTACCTGAAGAAGCAGTTATACGCCCTACACATGGGTGAAGGTATGAATTTTTTGTCACATTTAAATGTGTTTAACGGACTAATCACACAGCTTGCAAACCTCGGAATGAAAATCGAGGAAGAAGATAAAGCCATCTTGCTATTGAACTCGTTGCCATCTTCGTACGATAATTTGGCAACAACCATCCTGCACGGTAAGACTACTATTGAGTTGAAAGATGTCACATCGACTCTTTTACTCAATGAGAAGATGAGAAAGAATCCTGAAAATCAAGGACATGCTCTCATCACAGAAGGTAGAGGCAGAAGTTATCAAAGGAGTTCGAACAACTATGGTAGATCCGGAGCTTGTGGGAAGTCAAAGAACCGATCCAAATCAAGAGCCAGAAATTGCTACAACTGTGATCAACTAGGTCACTTCAAAAGAGATTGCCCAAATCCAAGGAAGGGCAAAGGTAAAACCAGTAGCCAGAAGAATGACGACAACACAACCGCCATTGTGCAAAACAATGATAATGTTGTCCTCGTTATATATGAGGAAGAGGAATGCATGCACCTGTCAGGTCCATAGTCAGAATGGGTGATTGACATAACGGCATCTTACCATGCCACACCGGTAAGAGATCTTTTTTATAGATATGTAGCAGGTGATTTTGGCACAGTGAGAATGGGTAA